ATGTGTGTGTGTGTGTGTGTGTGTGTGTGTGTGTGTGTGTGTGTGTGTGTGTGTGTGTCTTTAACTTAATTTTTACTTTTCCCTCAACTCAGGAAATACCCATTGAGAAACCGTATCTACTGTTAAGTGTGTGGCTTCTAGAGTCACACTGCCTAGATTTGCGTTTCAGCTACTAGCTTTATGAAGTTGAGCAAGTTACCTAACCGCTCCATACCTCAGTTTCATCATATGCAAAAGGGGAATATAAAAATTCCTATCTCATAGGACTGTTCTAAAGATCAAGTGAGACAATATATATATAAAGCACCTGGAACAGAGCTTGGCACCTCATTATATACATTCACTGAGTTTTAGTCATTATTAATATCACTATGTAACAAACGCAGGTCTCTTCTTCCATCAAAGAAAAGGTCATCTCTATTTTTTCCTAAGATGTCTCCTCCTTCATCTGAACCATTGACTCGTTCCTCCTCTTTTCTTCCCTGGAGGATCTCCTTCTACTTCGTCATCAAACCAGTCATCCCTGGCACTGATTCTTTTTCTCAACTAGCAAGTTGTCCCAGTATCTATATCCATAAACTAAACAGTCTCACACTTTCCTTGAGTCTCTCTCCTGCAGCTACTGTTCTTATTTTCTCTTTTCCTTTACCTCCAAATTTCTTGAAAAGATATCCTGTGTTCCCCTCTCTTCCTCATTTCCAATTTACTCCTCAATTCACTGCAAGCCACACCATTCTACTGAAATATTTTTCTCTCCCTAAAAGGTAAGCTGTAAGAGGGTTGTGCAAGCTCCTGACGTAAAGTAAGATCCAAACAAATATTTGTTCAGTGATGAATGATTGACTCTGATAGGTCCCCCATGGACAACCTTAATCCCAGTGGTCTTTTGTTTGGCCTCATCTACACAGCTCTTATAGCACTTGTTACTGTTGAGTATCTTATACTTTACAAAGAATTGTCTTGTACATTGACTTCTTAAAGCTACAAAAAAGCCTAACTCTGAGGCAAATAGAGATCACCATCATTGTTTCTATAGTGGGGATAACTGAGACTGAGATTGTTCCAAGGACTGGCCCAAAGTTAATCAGCTTGCAAGTGAAGGAGGTAGAATGCAATACTAAGTTATTCAGCTTAAAGCCTAATCTAATTTCTAGCTCTCCATGGGTCCTCAGTTCATTCTGCTACCAGGCTCATAAGGATGTCCATTAAGAAGAGACAAATCCGAAGGTGGAGATGGCCTCACATTTATTATGTCATGGTTGTGTCATAAATTAAATTTAAAAATTTAATTAAGTCCATTTCTATTTAGCACTTTGCATCAGTACAGCACTCCCCATTACCCTAGAGACCTGGAAAAGTTAATACACTTCCCTTACCATAAGGAAATACCACAGGAACTAGAGAGAATTGTCAATTAAAAAGTTGTATCAATTAAAACTAATTTAATGAGTATTTGCAATGTTCAAAGCATTATGTGAGGCATTTTCCTTGAATTTGAGGAACTAAACAACCTTTTAAGGCCATAAGACAAATAAATAATGAAAGTTAGCAACAATATCAGAACAGGAGGTAAACACCAGAGAATGAGAAATACCTGAGGTTCACGTGAAGAGCCCATGTGTACTGGGAAGGTTACACAGAAATATACAGAGAAAAGTTTGGGGAAAGAGGAGAGAAGGGTGAGCTTGGGTGAGACAGAGGGAAGAGCAGGAATATATAAGTCCTATTCAAGGACAAGCTGCCAACCTATGTAGAAGAAAGAAAGACTTTATGCTGAGAACTATGAACAAATAAAGTTAGCAAGACAGTGGAGACAATTTAGAGAAAGGTCTTGAATGTCAGTCTAAGTTGGGAGACACGATATATGTAAAATAGAAGGTTTCTGAGCAAGAGAAGAACCCAATGAAAGTAGGTAGAATTTAGGGATGATTCATGTAGCAGTTGATTAACCTCTAGAAGAAAGCCTGAAGGTCGGGAGACATGTCAGTAGGTTGTTGCAGTAATTCATAAGGAGGTCTGAGCAGACGAGATAAGGGTAGAAATGGAAGCAACGGGAATTAGGAACAAACAGAATTTGATTAGCTATCGAAAATGTGGATAGAATGGAGGGAGACATCAAAAATGGGTAAATGCATTGAAAATATTTATATAAAATAAACCCAAGTATGGCCAATACCATACAATATATAAATATATCCCCCCCCCCAGTGGGGCTACTTTGAGAATGCAATATCGCTGTCATTTCTCTTTACCGAGTTTTACATCGATATGCTTATATTTCTTTATGTACTTACATCTCGAAAAGCCTCACTTTTCATGTTTTGAAGTCTCAGATTTGTCAGGGGTTGCATGGTTTGGATTTCCATTCCAGTCAGTCCACATTTCTTCTTTTTCTGAAGAGCAGTGTACAGCTGATACAAAAGTTTTGTTGCTGCCCCAGGCTTTTCTGTGATGATGCTTTTGGCCACATTCTGATCAAACTGCACACCCAGAAGGCGAAGTGTTGGCTCCAAGCGAGAAAAATTATTAAGCTGGGCACTTGAAACCCTAGACATTAAAATATTTTACATATTTAGACACTGGCATTGAGTTAAAAACAAACAAGTACAGAGATATTCTCAGGATCCAATATTTTGAATTACCCCATGTTCTTTTTAAATATATCATTCCTCTCTAAAACCTCTCAATCTTGTAAATACATTGAGCTTTTCCATTGTCCTGAACTCCATGCATTTAGTTATCTTGAATGGCTAATCTAACACTCATTAATTTTATACACTCTTCTGCTAAAATAGGTGCTAGAATTTCTACAAGAAATCAAAATAAAACCAGATAAATAGACTTCTTCTTCTAAATGGAAAAACTTAACTATAGTTTTGAAATATTTTACTCAAAAGGCAAAATTTCAATTTAAATATCCATTTCTTTAAATGATATTACTAGATATTATTATGACACATAAGTAAATAACTTAATGTGAAAATAGCCAAAAATATTGCATTGACAACTCTAACAATGATCCTCTTAGGCACTGTTAAAAATATTTACTTAAATAATATTAGCTATTCTAGTCAAATTAGTTATGTAATCTTCACTTTACAGTTTATATTACTACTTTAAGAATCAGTAAAAGTGACATCAGAAAAATGGCAGTGTGAGGGGTGCTCCTTGAAATCTCCCCCTTGAAGTTACAACAAATTGAACAGCTATAATTATCATGCTAAGCAAAATAAATCAGAGAACCAAATGACTTCACTCATATGTGGGATATAAAACTGAAAGCAACAAAGGAAGAAGGCAAACAAGCAAAAACTCATAGACACAGACAATAATAGTTCAGTGGTTACCAGAGGGTAAGGGGGATGAGGGAGTGGTAGAAAAAGAAAAAGGGAGTCAAATATATGGTGATGGAAGGAGAACTGACTCTCGGTGGTGAACACATAATGCAATATATGGGTGATATAGAAATGTATACCAGAAACCTATATAGTTTTACTAACCAATGTCACCCCAATGAATTTAATAAATAAAAAAAAAGAATCTGTAAAAACTTTCTAATTATAAATTATATTTATTTTTGAATCACCTATTATCAAATTAGGCTCATATTTTAGAAGATATTCGTTATTTCATTCATTAACTTACTCTCTCAACAAAAGACATTTATTGAATATCCATTATATCAAAAATGTATTTATTAAATTCATTATGTAAGTGATATGCAAATAAATTCAAATAAATTTACATATTAGTTAAATTCTTACAAAGATGAACAAGACTTTGTCCCTTCCCTTGAGGATTTCATAATGGGAAAAAATAGACGAATAAATAAATAGAGATAAATTGAGGTAAGTGTTGTAATAAAGGTCTCATATGATCTGTGGCTATTAATGAGCCTATAGATCCAGTGACAGAAACAAAGCCAAAGATGTTGGATGTAGTTTCAACTTTTGTGCTTCTCTCTGATCCAACAGGATACAAATATCAATTTTAACCACTGGGCCTATTTTCTCTTGACTTTAACTTCGGAACTTTCAGTGACATTCCTTAATAGAAAAAAAATATACTGAAGCTACTTGAATATAAGTGAAAGTCCTATCCTACCTCAAAAATGATACCCTATAACAGAGGGAGTTGCCATATATTTGGCAGAATTTCTAACATTATATACTCATTCAATAACTTCATTTTGGACTATACAATTATTTGGGGAAGATACAATGACTTTTAGCAATTTCAATTAAATTTGTAGAAGCTTATGGAGATCACTTAAAACTTTATATACTGTCCCTAATATACCATCTCTCAAGAAATTTCTCTCAAGTGGTAGTTCTAAAACTTTTTTTTTTCTTTTAAATCATCTATACCATTGAAAATCTGATGAGAGCTGTGGAACCTTTTCCACAGGAAAAAAAGGACACATCCATGCATATATACAAAATGTGTATACCATTTTGGGGTGCTTGTGAACCTCCTAAAATCTAGCCCAAGGTGCCATTAACTTCAAGTTAAAAATCCATCTCTAAAAGGAGGTGAGACTGGGGAAACATACAAATGATTTCTAAATATGATAAGGAGCCAGTATCATGGGGAGGTCAAAGTCAACAAAAACAGTGATGTGATAACTTGAATTCCTTTTCCAGTTATGTGGTGTAACTTACTGTCGTATTTCCTTTATTTGCTATTACTCTTTTAATGGAAATAGTTGGTAAAGTATACTTAGGATATTGTAATACATCCACCAAACTTTGAATATAATATTTTGAATTAATAAAAGAGAAACGGACCTTAGATGGGATGAGAATTGATAATGCATGCTACAAGGAAATCTTATGGACAATAAGAGTAAACGTTATTTTTTAGGTTTTCTCATGTCCAGTTTTGCAATTTGCTCCCCCACAAATGCCTTTACAGCTTGAGATAAACATTTGTTTAAAATGATTACGGTAAAGCAGACCATATTTTAAAGAGTATGATTGTAAAAGTGGATAGTCAGATCAATGACTTGTGGTTATGTTATTTGGACAGGCAACTTAAACACCTTTTGGTCTTCCTATCCTAGGAGTCCTGTATGCCAAGTCCATTATGCATATTTAGAAAAAAAGAACAACAACAACAAAAAGAAAGGTATGGCCTAGAGCCACTTGTCAGGACTTTGGCTTGGGTTATAACCTTGGGCGGCAGAGGTTAGGAGCAACATAACTCAAGAAGGAGAATCCAAAAGCAAACATTAGCCATTTCCAAATTTTATCAAAACTTCGCCCTGCACCTGATAAAAACGAAGGGCACGTCCCATCCTCTTGTATTACATGGCCCTCAGAACGCAGTGTAAACCTACTAATATTATGGTTCGGTTACACATAGGCTTTAAAATGGCTTTTATGGCCGAAGTATCCAGGTATAACAGTACTTTTCTCTTGAAGTATTCCAAATTTCCAATCACTCAAAATTTTGGGGAGTATAACTGCTGTCTATATTGATGGAAGGCCACTCTTGTTATAGAACATACTTTATCAGTAACGTGATAATCAACAGTTGTTTTTGAACACAGAGAAACCACTGGGACTTCTTTGTTCTGGAGACAAAGCATATGATGTAAGTGATGACTCTAAGGAATAAGAAATGTATTCTGGTCAAAGCCTTCTCTCTGTCTCCTTGCAGGGCTAATTTGCCAAGGAATTACCTGCCTCCTCTCCTCCTTACCACCTGGTGAGGGAATACATCTTACAAGGTAAGCAGAAGTTTCCCTTCCAGGGATAGCCACATTTCTTTATTTTTCAATCTTTTAACTAATCTCATTTTTCACCCTTTGAAATGGACTAAAGATATTCTAAAGCAGAGAAATCTTTGAGTTAGATGAGTTATTTTTAGGATTGAGTAATTTCCAAAGCAAATAACTTCAAGTTATTAGCAACATATAGTTGGCTGTTTACATTTTAGACTAAAGAAACTAAAAATACTGACGACATCACGAGCTCTGATACCAGACAGCTGCCTAAAAAATAGGCTTTCTCAAAGAAGGACCCTCTTCCCCACCAAAGACACTATCCCAAAGGTCATATCCATGGATTTACTGACATTTGCCTTCTTTATAAGACTGTGTGCCCTGGAAAAAAGTGGATTGTTCCAAGAACTAATGACGGGTAGTATTTTGTTGTCAGGACAAGTAGGTCCCTCTCCCCGTGTTAAGGAATGTGATGACTCTCAGTAAGATAGAAAGTTAGTCTTTTACAGGGGGTGAAAAGCATGGCTGTGACACATGATGATAGACAGGGCACACACTTGCCCAAAGGTGGGATAAGGGTGTGGAACCTTCCCTCTGCTCAGTTTGCCAAGCCCTATCCCTGGCATGCTGCAGCTTCAGCCATCCTTTGTCTTTGCACCAAGCCCTCTCTGTTCACTGTGGCCTCTCTGTGTCTTCACAACTGTGTCCATTCAGATGGAGTCCGATTCTCTATTTCACACAAAGGCCCTTATGGCCCTGCTAACAAGAGTCAATTTACTACGCCTGAAATGCTGCATGTATGATATGGTTAGTATGGTCCTTGAAGTTTTCTATAGCTAAACAGGTATACTTTCTGACATCATTCATTTATTCAATAGAGAGACGTTATTGTGTGACTGCTATGGGCCGGGGACAAAGCTTGGAGCACAAAGAATAAACACACTCTGTAACTTTCAGCAACTCTGTAATCTAGTTGAGGAGTGAACACTGATATACTCATTCATGGGCTATTGTCTGGGCACCTTCATATGTCTGGCACTCTGAAAAAAGCTGACATTGTATAAATAATTATAGCTTAATGTGATAAGGAAGGTAAAACTCTACACCCACATTAGGTGTGGTATCCCCATCAGCTTAAGAAACTTTAGATATTCCAGTTTGTCTGTCTCAAGGCACGTCTCACAAGGTGCTTCCCAGTGTGACCCTCATCCACCATTTCAGTGGCATTTTCCACCATCCTGGAGTGCTAAGCTAAGCTGCTGTGGTCCAGAAACATGTCATGTATTTTGTTATGCCTTCCACCTTTGCATATTAATATTCTTCCTTCCCTTTCACCACGAGAAACTCTTTTCCATTCTGAAGGTCTAGCTCTAAACTCTTCGTTGACTCCCCTAGCAGATTTAGTTCTCTTTTTCTGTTTGTCTTAATAACACTTTGAGTGATGATGATGTGTCAGTGTAGGTTCACCAAACCTAACAGAGGTACCCCTCTGGTGGGGGATACTGGTAATGAAGGAGGCTATAAAGATGGGGGGCAGGAGGTTAATGGGAAATCTCTGTATCATTCTCTTAATTTTGCCGTGAATCTAAAACTGCTTTAAAGAAATAAAATGTACAAGAAAACAGGGAAGAGATTTGAATAACATTTCGGCAACAAAGCTACACAAATGACTGATAAGCACATGGAAAAATGCTCAACATGATTAGTCACTGGGCAAATGCAAATTAAAATCACAGGAGATACCACTTCATACTCACTAGGATGGCTGTAAGCAAAAAGACAGGCTATCACAGGTGTTGATGGGGACTGAAGAAACTGAAACCTTCACACATTACTATATAAATGTACACGGTGCAGGCGCTTCGAAAAGCAGTGTGGATGGTCCTCGAAATGTAAACATAGACCACATAACCCAGCAATTCCACTCCTAGGTATATACCCAGGAGAAATGAAAACATTTCCAGGTAAAAACACAATGCTCATGAAAGCATTATTCATAATAGCCAAAAAGTGGAAACAACTCATATCCATCCATTGATAAATTCAGAAACAAACTGTGGTATATCCAATTGACATTATTTCGCAAACAAATAGAAATGAAGAAGTACTTATCCCTGTTACAACATAGATGAACCTTGAAAACATCCTAAGTGGAAGAAGCCATTCACAAAATGCCACATGCTATGTGATTCCATTTATACAAAATGTGTAGAATAGGCAAATCCACAGAGACAAAATGTCAGTGGGTACCAGAGGCTGAGTGTTCAGAAAGTGGTGATGGTTGTGAACATACTAAATATGTAAATATACGTAAAACCCCTGAATTGCATGCTTTAAAATCGTGAATTATGATATGTAAATTATATCTCAATATAGCTGCTAAAAACAAAAATATTATTATTATTATTTTTACTATTTAAGTTCTATTTTATATGTTTAAAAAACAAATTGGCTGTATGCTGTTTCACTTCTCTTAAAAAAAGCAGAACCAATTAACAAAAGAAGTTGTCATCTGGCCTAAAATTGCAAGAATATAAAAGATATTAAAATGAGTCCCTTCTAAGGGTAAAGTCTTGCTGCAACCACATAACTTTCTGTGCATCGTACTCCTGGGAAATGAACACAGGCGGAAGCAACAATTTCCATCCCAAAGGTATCCTTGGCTGGTTTAGGTTTAAAGGGGGTCTTGAGATCGATGATTCTTAAACGTTAATTTTGGAGGCTAAAACCATCCAAAAGCCAAAGGAATTGACTTTTTTAAAAGCGAGGAATAATCTCACTTACCTGCTTTCTGAAAATTCTGAAAAATCATCCTGAAGTTCAAACTTGTGCAGAACCTCTCCAATTAGATAGCCACTGGAAAACGCCTTTGCAAAGGACTTGGGGCCTGAATTTTCAAACACAGAGATTCAAAAGTAAATATCATGTTGCACACAGAACTTACATATCTTCATTATATATTCATAAAGTAAAACTCCATGATTTAACTTGAACTTAAAATGCCATGAAAATACTTCTAGAAATATCTTTTAATAACCAAATAAAAAGACTGACGTTTAACAGTAGACATCTTCTACAGATTCCTGAATAAATATATATATATCAATCCTTGATGCCATATGAAATTTTGAAAGAAAAGACAAATCTGATCACATTAAAGTAAAACCAATAAAATTTATAACCTTAGATTTAAAAACAAACCTTCAATATATTTTATAAAATTACACTCCAATACCTTAGTTAGCAATACAAGCTACAGATGATGATAGCATAATGTTCTGGCCAAGTCAGGTACAATCTAACTTGTTTAAACATTAATTAAGACTTAATTTTAATTTACAACGGAAATTTTACACAAGTCATCTGCACCTTCTTAAATAAAGCCTACTGAACATAGTCAAGAGGCCATACTTATTCTTGAAAATAACAGAGTTCTTAATGAATTTTACAGCAAATCCTTTAAGTAACATTGTTACTATTTTCCATTACAAAAATGATTGCTTCAATTTCAGATGTAATTGTGTGTGGAGCAATTTTTTAAGGCAGATACCTTAGAATTAACATATTCATCTATGCATTATTTTCCAGGAGCAATAGTCTGGTTAATTAGCTCAGTGAAGATCCTTAGCTTTGGTAGCACAGAGACTAATCAAGTCTCTGGTGACTCCAGAAACCTCCCTCCATTAAGTGGAAGAAGATTGTTCTCAGTGAAGATCACTGGCATTTGTTTTCTCTACTGCTGATATTCAGGGTAGTCCAGGCAACACAAAATTCAATATAATATGCTTTATCCCAATTGACTTCTGCCTTGCAGAATAATCCAGAAATCAATTGGCTTTAGCTGCCCCTCCAAGGACTGAACCAATCAGCCTCTTCAAGGCAGCAAATGCACTCCCTTGGCATTCTCATCCTGTTTTCTTTGTTCCAGCAAACAACATAGAGATGGAATCACTTCCAAACAAACATTGAGAAATGCATCTTTGGCACTTAACCATTTAGGAGTTAGGTTATGTCCTGTGAAGTTACAACATGCCTCAGTGGTTGAATTTCTGTACTTCTTGTGACTTCAAATTGAACAATAATCCTTATAAAAGGAGCTCACATGAATATAATTGGAAGAGCTGAATTTTAAAAAAGTATATTCCCTAAGTATAAACTCTAATATAACAGTATAGTGCCAAAGAGCACAAATCAAAGATCTAACTTCTAGCTGTGTGACCCTGAACAAATCACCAAGCTCTCCCAGCCCTGTGTACTCATTTGTACACATGGGACAATGCCTCTTAGGGGGGTTTTGTTTGTTTTTGTTTTGTTTTAGGATTAAATAAGAAAAGGGCTTAGCATAGGGTCTGGTATAAGTGCCTAAGTGCCCAATAAGAGGTAACTTTTATTATTATTATTCTTTCCTTTATAAACTTCATTTGAGAAAATAACTCTTATGTCACCCCCCACAATACTTTTTAATAAGATTCTTACTATATAGTTCAACTAAAGTGTTAAATCTCATTTTCCCCTATTTTGTCATGTGAAGTTTGATTTTCTTTTTTGATTTTTTGTTTGTAATGCTATATTGAATTTTCCTTTCAAATGATGAAAGCAATATAATCAACAAGCCAAATGACACAGATGTATAAAGAAAAGCCACTATCTTCTCCTTCCCCAGAGTAACTGACACCAACACACTGGTTAATACCCTTCCATGCTTTTATCTGTACTTACACAAAACCACAATATGAAGCTTCATGTACATGTCAATAGTTCAGTAATGTCTCTCCACACATTTCTCTATGCTTGCACAAACTTATATACATAGTCACATATGTGTATGCATCTGTATGTATTTCCTAGTTGGCATAAAAATAGAATTATACCATTCATAATAAGCTACACCTTTTGTTTTTTACTTGACAAAAATACATGAATATTCTTTAGGTTAAAAGTTAGAACTAATCCCTCTTTTCTAATAACTGCGTAACAATTCATAGCATGAATACAGCTCCATTTACCCAAGTATTCCACTACTGAAGGACATTCAGATTGTTTCCAATTTTTTTTTTTTTGCCCCCACAATCCATGGAGCAATGACCATCCTCGTTTCAAATATCCTTACATGTTGGTGATTTTATTTTTGTATGACAGTTTCTGAAAAGTGAGGTTAAGCATTTATTATGTCCCAAGTACTATTCTAAATGCTTTAATTTAGTATTTCTTTTAATCTTGACACAGCTCCATGAGGTATTACTATGTTTGAATATGATGATATTTAGGTAAATAACTTGCCCCAGCTCACAAGCTAGTAAGTAGTGGATAAGTGATTTCAACCCAGGCTGTCTGGCCACCAAGTCCTTGCTCTCAACAGAACCCTTATCCAAAAATTGCCAAATTAAAAATATATGAGAAACAAACAAAAATAAATAAAAGAAAAAAAACAGAAATTGCCAAATTACTTTCCCCAGAGAATGCACCCACTTAGGGTCCCCTTCCATGATAGCTTTTATAAACTATTCAAAGTCTTCCATTGTATAACCATAGAACTAACAGCTTGTCTAATGCGGAGAACTGTCAATGGCAGGGTGTTTCCTTGGGGGCATAGATCCTATCTTTTTTCCAAACCTCATTGAGTGTTTTTCCTATAGCCTGAAAACTCTTTTACAATATGGAATCTGGTTACCTTGGGGACTGTCTCTCTCTTTAAACTTCTCTAAGCAGTTGAAACCAAGAAATGAATCTGTATTTTTAGTGAATGGGATTCAGAATACTGTAGCTATTTCTGCTAACAGCTTCCATATTTACACTTCAGGGAAGCAGACATTGGGAATTTTCCATTTATAGCTTATGTTGTTAAAACTCTTACTTAAAAAGTCTCTAGTCTTTCGATCTTCATAGAAGGGAGTAAGTCTTCCTCCTCTTCCCATGGACAAAATTTCAAAAACTAATTATACAATTATAATGGCATACTACTGTTTTTATGTTTCTTATAATTTTATTTACTTTTCTCAAAAGTGTTTCAATATGCAATAGAATCCTGGGCTCTTGAGCAAAGGGCGTGATTTACTACTAATCACATAAATGACCTAAATTAAACTCATCAATCTGTAACTGCTTTTCATTGGAGGAGTATAACTTTAGGGCAGGATATTGCATTTGGCTTCTATGGTGAGAAAGGAATAAGAAAAAAAAATGCTAAACATAGTCCTGAGGTCAGCATCTTATTTTAGTAGAGAAACAGAGACACAATGGGATGATCCTGGGAAAGACGTGATTGCAATTCCCAGAAATGTCTGGGTGGTGGTTTTGCTTACGCCTCAAGAAATGCAGCTGGAGGGTTAAAGATCCTAATGTTGATGTAAATACTTTGCCATTTCAGAAACACTACTGATCTAGTCAATGCTGAGAATGACCTAAGGTTGGGTTGGCATTATTGCCCCTGTGGTAGCAAGTTGGTATTATGCAAGGGTGCTTCTGGGAAAACAGACTGAAATGATTTGGGCTGAAAACCTCTTGCCTTGAGCAAAACCCATCCCATCTGAAAAATAAACTGTCCAAGAAACAACAGAAAGAGGTTGAGATGGAGTACAGTGCTGTGCTGGAATTGCTTGATTGTCGCAGAAGTTGACAGCATGTAAAATTGCCTCCGTGGTTGTGAGATTTAGAGACTTTGGGTGGCAACTTCATGGTTGCGATAAAACCAAGTTAGTGAAAAAAGTCAGCTTTGGGCAAGAGTAAACAGCAGTCAAAAATAGCTAATGTTTGGAAATTTTGAGCTAAAACTGCTAAAATGTGTAAATGTTAACATATTCCGCATTAACTCATTTCACTAGCATCCTTTCTGCTGGCAGTTAAGTATGGAAAGTATGTTTGGATCTAGTTTGTACTGGAGGAAACACATTCAGAGAAGGCATTGTAACTCGTCCAGGGGCACATATCTAGGCTGGCTTTAAGGCTTCATATTTCATTGGCTTGCCAGCACACCATGCTTCTGAGAATGTGAAGGGCCAGACTGTAGAGTCCAGCAAATTCCTCTCTCCACAGGAGCAAGGGAGCCCTCTCTAAGCCCTCTGCTTAGAACCACACAGTAGGTCAGAAATTGCAGGGTTGGACCCACTGGGAGTGGCAGAATGAGGATGGGAGAAGCCCTGCAGTGACTGGAGTGACCTGGAGGGGAGCCGCTGGACGGGCCTGGGGCGCTGCTGGGCCCCTGAGTCGCCCCACCTGCGCTGCACGTACCATCCCCACCACCTTCCATAACGCATCGCGCTGGAGGCACCGCTCCCTGATCGCCCCTAACCGCTATCCCCAGGTTGTGTCACTCACTCACGGTCTGGGACACCTTCAACTCTTGGTTGAGCCACTGACACAGGATCTCCGACATGGTTCGGCCAGAGCCTCAGACAACACGCAGGGAAACCCAGTCCACTGTCTCGCGTCTTCCTGTTGCCAAGGGCAACCCGTTGCTAAGGAAGCTTATCTAGCCGAAAGTAAATGAAAGGCTAAGAAAAGAAGGGCGCCAGAGCCCAGACGCGGAGGAAAGAATATTGTGACCTGCCCCCTGCTGGCGGGTATGACTGGCATGTATGCAAGGTGGGGGTCGGAACTTGTAAGGAACACGAAAAGGTAGCGAGAAGTGGATGTGAGGAAGGGGTGAGGCAGAGAAAATTAAGGACTGAGCAAGGGGTCTGGGACGAGCAGAAAGGAAAAAGAAAGGTCTTGATTGAAGGGGAATTTTTTTTTTTCCTGTTTGTCTTTTGAAGAAACCTATTGAAGATCTTGCCCTAAGGCCAGCAGTTTTGTCACCGACTTACAAGTCGTCAGTTTTAATTGCTATATTGTATGGGCTACCCAGGCAAGGACAGCATGTGTCATTCATTTTTTAGTCCCAGACTTGGTTTTGGGCCCGACACCCAGCAAGCATTCTGTAAATTTTGTTGATGGTGGCAGGACTAACAATTAGGATAATTCAAAACTATATTGTCTTGAGAGGTGAATATTTAATGAACTTTTCTTCTGGTCAATTTTTCCAGGTAATGATTTTAAATTACATTTTGACAAAGACTCTCACTGTGACCAAACCTGAGTCAGGCTTCTCTGAACCCTCTTCTCCCAGAGGTCACACCAGGTGCTCTTTTAGTTCAGTTTTAGCAAGAATCCTGCTGGGTCAGTTTAGTGAAAATCCCCACCCTCCATATCTGATCAAATTCCTCATCCCTCACCCTTGATATAGGATCTGCCTGACCTGCCTTCAGCAAGAATCCTGTCAAGTCGGTTTAGGCAGAATCCCTATGACCCCTGATGTAATCCTTCCACTGACCCCAACCCTAATCCTTGGCTGTAAATTCCCACTGCTTGCTGTATTCAAAATTGAGCTCCAACTCTCCCCTATTGCAGAACCCCCAGTGCAGTAGTGCCTTAAATAAAGTGTTCTTTATCATTTTTAGCAAGTGCCAGAAAAAATTTCCTTTAACAATTTCTAAAAGTTTAGATGGAATAGTAGGAAAAAAAAATTTATACATAGTATGTATCATAATCTTATATGTGTAATAAATAATGTATATATGTATGTCACAAATACGAGTAATTTCCCCCTGAAAGGCCTGGATACACCAAATTATGATTCTTTTAAACTGTAGGAACAGTAACAGTAATGTCCTACTAGAACAAAAGTCTCTTAAAATTAATCTGAAATTGATCTGTGTGTCCAGATTGGATAAAAGTTTAGTATCAGTTCACTGTTGGCTTTACTTTTAAATCTCCCATCCATGAGTTTCCTGACATCTGGCACAGCAGCCTGACTACAATGGTAATTCTGACAGAGATTTGTTGCCAACAGAATTGGAGCCTTACACATTAGATGTGTCTCAACCTTTGAGCTACCCAAATCTGGAAGATCACTAGATTCTAAAAAGCCTCTATAATTTGGGTGATATCGCTTATAAAGCTGTAGGCATTGGAAGTACATCATACCTGAAAATGATTCTAGGGGGTGGATAGGTGCCTAGAAATGGCTCCAGGGCACTCCAGCTTCTTGTCATCCTCGTAGTATATTTAAATTGATGACTGGTGCTACATTTTGTAAGGGGTTTGAAACTTTAATTTCAGTCTGTAGAACCTGGGGAATAGAAGCCAATATTTTCTCGATTGCTCAGAAAATTGCTTTTGGGGAAAGATATAGATGATGGTGCATCAAACTCCACAGCTGCACAGGAATAAAATGCCTGAGCTCATAAACCATCTATAGACAGAGGCTATCATTCCCACAGCAAAGTAAAATATTTCTGTGTCTATAGATAGGAATAGTTTGGTGGTTGCTTCAAAGGGTTATTTGCAGTGTTTGTCTTTGGAATCCAGCTCCAAACAACAGTCTGTCAATGTGGTATTTTGCAAAAGAAGTTTATAGACAGGTTTTAGATCAATGAAGATATACAGATGCTTTACAAAATAAAAAGCAAAGCCTTTCATTTCATAAAAAGAGGATAATATTTCTTTTAGTTTCCAAAGCATCCAACTTGAAAATGACCTGACATTAAAATATTAATGAAAATTTTGATCTATTATTTAAATACATGCATTTTACTGTGTTTTTTTTCCTTGAAATTGCTAGTTTAGTTATGAGTCTAATTTTAACGTTAAATCTATTGACTTCCCATTGAAATTCCAGCTTTGGGTGAAGTTTTTAGCACTGCCCATGTTGGTATTTTGCGTTAATATGATATATGACTTGTTTGTTCCCTCATGAGCAATCAGCTGGAAGAGGAGATGGTTAAAGAAATGGACAGTTTCTCATCTGCTCCTGATGCTCCTAATTTAATTAAACTTCTTAGAATATTTGGCACCTGCATTCAATTATAACTATCACAGCAATTTTAACCCTCCGTCAGGCACAACTGATCTCACAGATTAATTGCACACAAAGATGCCGCTATGAAATGCGTCTTTACTAAGTCACAAACACGACTGCCGATAGGTTACAGTAGAGGGGGAAGATACGGAAGCGATGAGTCACGATACTTAACTGTTAGATATTTGAAAATTTGTGTTCAATGAATCTGTGAGATCAGTTGCGCCTGATGGAGGGTTAAAACTCAATAAAAGTTTTATTTTTTAAAGCATTACCTATCATTTCATTATAAACCTTTATTTCTCCTCTGTACATAGTGAACAGTGGATTATAAAGAGTTATTTTGAGACTACAAGTTGGTTTGAAAAGTCATTCTATGTAATTACATGGAATACACCTCATTCTTTTAAAAAAATTGTAACATTTTTCCATAATTGGAATTTTACCCTATCACTAAGCTCAAGCTTTGGAACCAGACACACCTGAACCCAAATGTCTGCTTTTGATTTGATTAGCTCTTTGACTTTGGAAAAGCTACTTAACTTCTCTGAGCTTCAGTTGCATTTTCTGTATAATAAATACATCAATATTTGTTTGACAGTTTTGAGGGTTAAATGAGAAACTGCACATATTAATGCTTGGCTCATAATAGACACTTAAATGATTCTTTCCTTTTCTCCTAAGGCAATAGAATTTTTCCATTGCATTACATGTTGGCTTAGTTTTGAGTAGCTTAGATGAGCATATAAGATTTTTAAAAGTTTTCGAGGCAGTTACTTCGTATAGCTGCTTTGATGTTGTTTATGACTTATTCAATATTTATACGCACATAGTCACACATAGATAAATTTTTTAAAAAATCTTATTTTGGGCCGACTGAGTGGCTCAGTTTGTTAAGAGGTTGCTCAAGTGTGCAAGCTCCGAGCAACAATGGTTTGAGTCCCGGCCTGAGCTGAGCTGCTGCTGACCTGCCAACAGGTGGCAGGATGGCTCAGCTAAAAAAAAAAAAAACAAAATCTTATTTGGTCCTTCACTCCATTATGTCTTGCATGCATTTCTTTATCTCCCCTCTCATCGCTTTAGATCATTCTTTCATTCCCTTTCCTCTGCATGTTTTTCAATGGCATTGCTCACTTTACATTCATTAATTCAAATATTTCCAAAAAAACAAATATTTTCCTTAATGTCCACAATAACCACCCAAGCTAGGGTGTTTCTTCCCTCTAGGCATCCTGTGCAACCAGTCCAGTTCATATTCCCAAAGCCCTTCTCTATTCCTCAGCTCAGACAAGTTCATGAACTTCACTAGAACAGTGTTACCATTGTGGGCCTTGATTTCTTAATTGAATATATACCTTCAGTGGGTCATGCCAGAATTTTTTTTTTTAAAGGAAACAGTTGTAGAATAAAATGGAATAGAAATTATTAGAGGGCATTTAATATAGGAAGAATTAATGTGTGGAGTTTTGTTGTTGTTGGGTTTTTTTTGTTTGTTTTTTGCTTTTTGTGGGTTTTTATTTGTTTGTTTGTTTGTTTTTTGGTAACATTTCTGGAGCCACTGTCCTGGTGGATACAGACCCCATAGAAGGTCTTTTACAACCTAGCCTCATTTCAACCTTAACTGTAAGCCACAAATTCACTTAATACAACTTGCTCACGTGTATTACTGGGCCCCAACTTCCGTACCTCTACCATACTTCCTCTGCAAAAAAAGGCTACTTATTATCTCAGCCAATCCTGCCTGTTCTCCAGGGTCTAGGTTATCAGTCATCCCCTTCACAAAAGCTCCTACATTCTCCACCTTCCCAATTCCTTCTTCCTTCTTAAAGTTCAAAATAAGCACTTTCTCAGATACCTAACTTTTACCAACTACCCCACAGCTTGGCCAGCAACTCAGTTTTGCAATCTTCTAACATATTTCTCAAGACTTTTGTAAATGAGTGTTGATTTAGGTTCTCAGGAGAGGAGACAACTTCAGCTCTTGTTATTTATGGCAAATAACAATAATGCTGTAAAAGTTTCAAATTTCTTGAAGTCTTTTATGCTAAAACAGATAAGACCCTTTCTAATATGTGTCTTATTTTCCAAGCCCATATGATTTGTCTTATATATGGGTTGTGTCTTTCTCAGGCCAACATTTAAATTTCCAATCTTAGAGAGCAATAGGATTTGAAACAAAATTAAGTTAAAAAAAACAACAAAGTAAAACAAAAAAACTTGGTACCATATGAAAAAAGGTGAGTCATATTTTCTATAACTATAAGAATGAGAAGCTAAAGTCATTTATCAGAATTCTTGCTCTTATTTCTTATTTCCCCATACTAAAATTTTCAGAAATGCCAAACCACATTTTAATATCATAAATTTAGAGCCCTAAATTCATGACTTACTTTTTCCTTCCCAAGCAAAAAATTACCCATTACCAATAAACTCTCTCCATTTTGCTGACTGTAATCAAATCATTTTTATCATAACATTGCACTTGTACAGATAGTCCCCTGTTTTTATCTCTTTCATAGATTATGCTTTATAGCAAACTGGATTTCTATGTGTGCCAAGTTTTACAAATAACTTCATTGCAGT